GTAGGGCTGATAAAACCAATAAGATATAATCGGATTAATGCATACTGAGATTGATGAGGACTAACATTATTTATAAGCCAGTGATAAACTTTAAAATAAAATTTATTAAAAATAATCTTAATTTACATTTCCTTATATATACGAATCGGAAGCTGATAATGGCACAAACTCAAAAATGAACAGGATATTGAGGAATTTAAAATGAAATTGTCTCCTGACACAATATTGGTTCTATTTCTAAAGGTAAAAAATTTTGCAAAGAATTTATTGCCATTCCAAATGTACATCCGTAATGCGTAAACAAAAAAAAATTTGGGGATGGAATATTGAGCATAGAATATTTAGTTGAACAAGGAAGAAAAGCAAGATTATAGTAAAAATTGAGGTTAAAAACTTTAAAATCAAATGTATATTACTCACTTTTAGAAAATTTCTTAGAGACTGACGCCTCCACTCTTCATCCAAAAGTATATATGTTCCATATTCTTTGGTTTTAAAAAGTTATTTTAGAGATACAATGCAAAGAATAAAATTAGAAGGAAAAATATCTTACCATTATCATGAATTCCGACAGAGGCTAACAATAAAGCAAGAAGATTTCGACAACGAGATAAACGAATACCTCCATTGACACTAGCAGAAAGAATGAGCAATGAATTAAGGGCCATGTCAACTTCATTTGGGAGTCCAGAAGCCAGTGCATGCTCAGCAAGAAGCAGTTCACTAACTGTATTTCTAAGAGACTGCCAAGTCGACTCAAATCGTTTTCCAGAGCTAGAAATGGTTCCATCCTTTGTGCTGATAGAAGCGATGTCAACGTTCGTATCAGCTTCACTTGAAGTACGAGAAGCCAGAGTGGCATCCTAAAAAATGGATACAAATTAATTTCACATAAGTTAATTTAAATAATTCAAATATAGGCAATTTACCTGGATATTTGAAAGAGAAGTTCTGGTGAGCCTACTAACACTTTCTTCAGATGAGCTGGACAATGAAAAAGAAGCCTCGAGTCTTTGTCTGGGACCGATTCCCCAAATAGTCTCAACAGGAGTAGCAGGAATGCAACTTGCAGGATATCCGAACTTATCATAGATGAAGGAATCAACAGGTAATTGATTGATGTAAGGTTCCGATAAGATAGGATGCTCACAACGCTCGAACCCGCAAAGATAACGATGATAAATACGGCGTAAAGCTATCGAAGGGTTAGCACAAGCAGAAGGAAGATTAAGTTCGGAATAAACTTCCTCCCATAGCTTTCTTTCACAAACCTGGTACTTATAAAACAAAAAAATAGAGGATTACCCTTTTGTATCCACCTCGATCGACAACAGCTTTGAACAAAGTCTCAAGATTTAAAGGTTTTCCGGCAATTTTAGGAGAATAGTTTAGTTGAAGACTAGATAAATAAAGTAATTAAAAACACATCTCTTACGAATTGCTTCTATAGAAAGAACGGAGCTCGGAGTCGAAGTCCCACTTAACTTTGGCATTCTTCAAAGAATAATTAAAATTTGGACAACTCGATATCCTTTTAAAACGACTTAGATTCATTATCGGGCTCTACAATTGGGATAAATTAGCTACTTTAGAGACAAGGCTGGTATAGAAAAGAGGAGATAAGATGTAAGAGGCAAACTGGAAGAACAGCATGCTAAACACATCTTAAGTGCACAAAAATATTTTTATAGAAAGATATAGCGTTAACACACATTAAAGCACTATGAATATCCACTGTCTACCATGAGACATGTAAAGAAGCAGGAATTATTTTATACAACCATGAATTATTTAACAGCAGCCCGAATCTCGCGGTAGCCTAAGCTATGATGTTAAGTAAAACAAAGCAATTGATTTATATATTGCATATATTAAATACTTTGCAAATCCGTACTAGCTAGTAATATTTTTTATTTAAAAATGTCGAGTACATTTTGTTGCCACACTTTTTGGGTTGGGCAATTAGACCTTCGTATAAATTTATTGGTATGTTTGCAAAAGTCATTATTCCTTATCCCTCAGGTTTATACTAAGTACTTTGTGGCTATAAAATTATTAACAACTATAAAACAATAGGTATTTTAATGCTGTGCAAGTATGTTACTTAGATGACGAATATGAACATCTGGAATAGATCTTAAAGAGAATACGACAAGTGAATGCAGAATAGAAACAAGCTATCTTAGAAAAGTAGATACTCCTAATATGCTTTTAATAATGCTTAAAGTACTCAGGAAAAGATGCTAATATTCAACTCATTAGGCTAGATTGAATTTGATTCATTCGCTAATGAAAGAATTTAGAATAATGAATTTCTTAGTATAATAAACACGATAATGCATATTGTGCATTTTAATTTATAAAATAAATACACTCAAAATTTTTATAAAGTACTTAATTTTTGCATTGACATTGTGGCTAAATTCTGCTTCATAG